TCAGCATGGGCCCGCAGAGGCACTCCCTTCCCCCACACCATATCACAGCCCTTCTAAACATATCCCTGGCTTCCTTCTCACCACAAGAAGTACTTCTTTTTTTGCCCCCCCCCCTTTTTTGGAGACATGGTGTCACTGTGTAGCTTTGGCAGGCCTGGAAGTTGATATGTAGACCAGTTTGGCCTGAAACTCTGCCTTTCTTTGCTGGGATTAAAGTCATGTGCCTCCACCCTTAAGAAGTACTCTTTCCTACTGGGCAGTGAATGCCTTGAATCAGGGCACTAGGGAGGCAGAGGCAAGCAGATCTCTATGAGTTGGAGGCCAGCCTGATCTACAGAGCAAGTTCCGGGACAGCTAAGACTAAACAGAGAAACTTTGTCTAAAAACAAACAAATACCAGAAAGGAGGGAGGAAGGAAATGTTTTTATTCACTGAGCTAGCCAGGTGTGGTGGTACAGGACTTTAATCCCAGCACTGGAGGCCAGAAATCGGATTCTTTGTGAGTTCAAGGCCACCCTGGTCTACATAGTGAGTTCTAGGACAGCTAGGGCTACCTGTGAGACCCTGTCTTAAAATTCGAGGTTTATTTTATGTGTGTCTGGGTCAGGTGTCTATGGCCAGGCTGGGGCTAGGACTGAAAGGTTTCATGCTGCTACAAGTACCTTATGAACCCAGCTGTATCGCTGGCTCCCACCTCTAGGACACCTCCCCATTCTTACACAGAAGTGAGTTGGTTTAACTCTCTGTCTCTTTGGCTTTTAGGAACTTCTGACAATCATCAGACAAAAGATGGCTGAGAATGTAGATGATATCACCTTCTTGTTTACTCTGAAAGCACTTTGGAATCTTACAGATGAGTGTCCATTGGCCTGCAAGTACTTTATTGAAAATGAAGGATTAGCAACCATCATACAAGTTTTAGAGGTGAGAAGGTGCGATTGAGTTTTGTTATAAAGTTCTTTTCTTCATGATAAAGTAACCTGAGTGTTCTTTTTTTACAGACGTTTTCAATGTGTACAATACAAAGCAAAGTACTTGGTCTTTTGGTAAGGTGAATTCTTTAATTTTAATTAAAACTAATGTGTATACAGCACCTACTCTGTGTTGGGCACTGGTGTAATCAGTTTAAATGCATAGATTCATTTAATTTCCATTAAATTCTGAGCAAACAGATAGCTTCATACAGTAATTCTGTTGCTGTGAACAACCTATATCTTAGTGGCTTAAAATAATAGCTGTCTGAAGCTGTAGAGATGGCTTAGTGATTAAGAGTACTGGTTGCTCTTCTAGAGGACCTATGTTTGATTTCTAGCACCCACATAGCAGCTCACAATCATGTAACTCCAATCCTAGGGGATCCAATGTCCTCTCCTGGCCTCTGTGGGCACTACACACACATGGCATACAGACATACTCCAAATAAAATCAAAAGTTAAAAAAGTAATGGTATCTATCCTATTTACTGAAAACTCTGTAGATGGTAGGTATTATACCCAGCTGTAATTACAGTTCCAGGGAGGCTAACAAGTTTGAGGCCAGGCTGGGCTACATAGCAAGATCCTGACTCAGAAATCAAAACCAACCAAATAGGAGAGACTAGGAAACAGCTTAGTTGGTAGAGTGCTTTCCATGCAAGTAAAAGAACCTGAGCTTAAAATCCCCAGCACTCAGATAAAGAGCTGGATGTGGTCTGTAATCCTGGCACTGGGCTCCCACACACATATGCACTTCATACACACACACACACACACACACACACACACACACACACACACACACTCATCTCCCCTCAAGAACAAGTGGGCCTGTAATTTGACCTCAGCTAGTGTGGTGTCTACAGTTGTGCTGGTCTTGAAGGAGAGATTTGTGTGGCTGTAGGCTGAAATATCTAGACTGATCTGATTCTGCTGTCAGAGAGTTGACACAGTGAGTCTTGTGGCTTACAGTAATCTCAGAGTGGCAATGGAGGGCCTGCCAGAACCTTTCCTAGACTCTGCTTGTATCCTGTTTGCTAATGTCAGCCAAAGCAGTTGATAAGATCCAACTGAGATTAAGGGCAGTGGTCATCCGTCATGGGAGGAGAACCCCATTGCTAAGGAATATCAGAAAGACATTATTTCAATGCCAAGCAAAACTGTGTGTTCTGATTGTACTCAGTCTGCAGTGTACAGGCAGGAACCATTTGTTCTGTCTGTACCTTGTTGGTAAGAGGCAGAACGAAAAAACAAGCTCAAGCAGCCTGGCTCCAGTTATTTTTCAGAAATTTCTTTTTTTTTTTTTTTTTTCAGAAATTTCTAAAATCATATGTCTATACTGTCTCTTGATCAAGATCTACAGTTTAGAAATTGTTTACAGGAGTGGCTAGAAGAGTTGGGAATTTGGAGAAAAGGTGGAAAAAAGAAAAGCATTAGAAAATAATCTCAGCAAGTTGACCAGGAGCCTTGTCTGCTAGTATAACAGATAGTCCTTTTGTCCTTCTGGGGGCCCGGTAGACTGCTAAAGACTTATAAGAGCTTCTGATAATCAGTTATGCTAATGGAACTTGTGTCTCTTTGTTGGGAACTAATATATTACGGTCAAGTGGCTCAGCTGGTTAGGGAAAGACTTAGATTTCAGAAACAGGCCAATTGCTGGCCCAGAGGACTGAAGGAGTTCAAGTGCTAACTTTACTTTTTATAATGGTTCACTTCACCCCTGCAAGCCTCTGTGGTTCTGAATACACAGCATCTAATGAGTGAAACTTCTGGACTTCTGGAGCTTAGATCTTCTCCTGGCAAACCTCTCCCCTCCAGTATGAGCAGGTCCTGCTACTTCCTTCTTTCTTTTTTGTTTTTTTGTTTTTGTTTTATTTTGTTTGTTTGTTTGGTTGGTTGGTTGGTTGGTTGGTTGGTTTTTCGAGACAGGGTTTCTCTGTATAGTCTGGGCTGTCCTGGAACTCACTCTGTAGACCAGGCTGGCCTTGAACTCAGAAATCCTCCTGCCTCTGCCTCCCAAGTGCTGGGATTAAAGGCATGCGCCACCACTGCCTAGCTACTTCCTCCTTTCTAATCAATAGATTGTGGCAACTCTGATAAAGATGTCACATCATAAGGATGTCACATCAAATCCACAGCGTCTCCACTGCCTCAGAATGTCAGCAAGTATGTGCTTGGGGAAGGCCGTCCACATTTCAAGGAACTTGAGACAGACATCCTTTAAGAGTTGAACAGGAAACTGAAATCTCAGTCCTGAGGAAATGAATTCTGAGTGAGGCTGGAAGTAGATTTGCCTCACTGGAACCTCTGGATAAGGATGTGACCATGTGAGATCTCACTGTAGAGACCCAAGCTAAGTCTTGCCCACAGAAGCTGTGAGGTAGTAAAAACATTATTTTAAGCCAGTAAGTTTGTAGTAATTTATTACACAGCATAGAAAATGAATGCAATCTGTTAAAGACAACAGGACAGTTTTTGTTTTTAAATTACAAAGAAACGTAAAATTACCCCAGCAGTGTTAAGTGTCTGGTTAGGCCTAGATCTGAACTCCTAGTTCAAGCAGTTACTAGCAATGCAAACCTGACGGGTTCGTCTTGCTGTCTCATCAAGTTTCTTTGCAGAATTGAACATTAACTGAGAGATAATACAGACGAAGCTATTTTTCGTCCTCTCATACTGTGCCTAGCACTTAGTAAGTGCTGTACTCTGTGCTTTGCTATTGATGATCATGGTCATCAGGATGAGGTAGGATTGGTGATAGGCCAAGTTGGGAGGGAGGGAGGGAGGGAGCAGGGTTAAATGCTGGGACTGCTGTGTGTAAAGGGAGCACTAGGGAAGGTGCTGGTTCCTCATCCTTTTCCTGACCTGCTGTGCTCTGCCCTGCTGCCCTGTAGAACAATGTAGCTGAAGTCAGAGAGCTCTCTCCCAAGCTGGTGACAGAAGACTTGATGGAACACATCATCAGTTTGCTCCACAGCAGCAACATAGAAGTGAGCTTCTTGGCTGCGGGTGTAATAGCCCACCTGGCATGTGACAGACAGCACTGGCTATCCCGTGACCTGCAAAGGAGTGATCTTCTCCAGTACTTGGTACAAGAATCTTTCTTTACAGAACCCAGAGTAATTTCTTTCTTAGACAACTTATTTTTCTTAATTATGAGTTTTAGAAAAAAATCTGCATCTACTGAATTTTGCCACTCGTCCCCTTAAATGTTTTTAGCAATAGTTTCTTAGCTTTTCTGTTTGGATTTTGTTGTTGCTTGTTTTTAAAATGAGTTTCTTTGTGTAGCTCAGACTCTACTTAAGTGCATGGTGATTCTCCTGCCTCAGACTCACTGCTGGTCTTTTGTATTGCCAGTGTGAGCTACCATGCCTAACTATAATAGTTTCAAAGTTTTGTATTTGTGTGTGTGTGTGTGTGTGTCTGTCTGTCTGTCTGTCTGTGTCTCTGTCTGTCTGTCTGTCTGTTTGTCTGTCTGTGTGAATACTGTCTTTATGCAAGTGCTTGTGAAAGCCAGAAGAGGGCATTGGGTGTTGGAATTGGGGGCAGAAGTGAGCTGCCCAGCATGTTTCTGGGAACCAGTCTTTGGACCCCTACAAAAGCAGCAAGTGCTCTTTTAAATGCTGAGCTGTTTTTCTAGCACCCAAACGTTTGTATTTTCAAGTTTTCCTGGGAGCCAGTAAGATACGTGATGAGTGGAGTGTATCAGCTTGGCTTCAGGTTGAGAGGTATGGATTAGGTGTCTTTCCACAGAGCTTACACAGAAGAATCTGTTGTTTGCATGGGTACAGCACAGAAAGATTCAGAAAGCCCAGTAAAGAAAGTAGGGACAGGACTGCCTCAACAGGAAGCGTTTAGATGTCCTGTTTAGTGTGGTTCTCCCACCCTTAATTGCTCATCGGATTGGCCTGCCCAGAAGCTTTTTGGGAAGGTCAGCAGAAATCTAAGCCAATCATTTGAGCCTTTCAACCAGATCCCTGCTGATTTTGTTGTGTGTTTGTTCAAACATGGCCTCACTCTGTAGCCCAAACTGACCTGGAACTCCTGACAGTCCTACTTTCCTACCCTAGAAGAAGTAAGGAGGCTGGTTGGTGGTAACACATAACTTTAATCCCAGCACCTGGGAGGCAGTGAGTTTGAGACCAGCCTGGTCTACAGAGTGAGTTCCAGGACAGCTAGGGAAACCCTATCTCGAAAACCAAACTGAAACAAAAAGATGTAAGGAAAATGTATAGATAAATGCACAGTCAATTACTATGTCTAAAAGGGGGTCTTTTCTGTGTTTAAAAGATTTCTTTTACCTTTTATGTTATGTGTATGGATGTTTTGCCTAAGTGTGTCTCTGTACCATGTGTACAGTGTCTGTAAAGGCCAGAAGAGGGAATCAGATTGCCTGGGTATGTAGTTACAGATGCTTGTGAACCACTGTATGGGTGCTGGGTGTTGAGTGCAGGTCCTCTGGTAGGGTAGCCAGAGCTCTTAACCCGTTGAGCTATCTCTTCAGCTCTGTTTTTTTTTGTTTGTTTGTTTTTGTTTTGTTTTGTTTTGTTTGCTTTTCGAGAGTTTCTCTGTGTAGCCCTGGCTGTCCTGGAACTCACTCTGTAGACCAGGCTGGCCTCAAACTCAGAAATCCACCTGCCTCTGCCTCCCAAGAGCTGGGATTAAAGGGGTGCACCACCACCGCCCGGCTCAGCTCTGCTTTTTTTTTTTTAATGTATATTAGTCTTTGCCCTTATGTCTGTCTGTCTGTACATAACACATGTGTCTGGTGCCCTTGGAGGCCAAAAGCAGGTATAGATCACCTGGAACTGGAGTTTCAGGTGATAGGAGCGACCATGTGGGTTCTGGAGACAGAATCTGGGTCTTCTGCAAAATCAGCAAGTGCTTACCTGCTCATCTTCCTATCCCCTCGTTACTTTACTTTTCTTGTGGTACTAGACACTGATTGATTACAAACTAGGTAAACATTCTGTCTCTGAGCTCTTACAGCCCAGCCTTTTGCTGTAATTTTTTCCACATAAAGTTCATAAATTCTAACTAGTTGATTTGGCAAAATGGTATATTTAAGTTTTAAAAAATCAGTCCCATTTAAAAAAATGTTCAGCTATGTATATTTATTATAAGCAATATGAAATAGCCTATTGTGTTATTTTTACGTAGTAGAATTAAACAATAGTGTATACTACTCTTGGTTTCTCCCTCTCTCTTTTGGATTGCAGCACTTAACCATCCAGAATTGGCCAAGTTCACGGTGTGACATGTCAGCATTGGTGACTTACAGGTAATTTTAAAGTATTTAGTGCTTCAGTCTTGTTCTTTTGTGTACTCTGCAGTGATACAGTGGTAAGGTGTTATATCAAGTGGCCTCATGTTCAGATCCTATGGTTCCTCTTGGTAAATTCTAAAAGCTTTAAGACTCAGTTTTCCATATGAAGGGAGACAGTGTGCTGTTGTTCCTCCCTGTCTTAGTTATGGTTTCTATTGCTGTGAAGAAAACACCACCACCAAAAAGCTTGTTGGGGAGGAAAGAGTTTATTTGGTTTATTATAATTCTACATTGCTGTTCATCAAGGAAGGAAGCCAGGACAGGAACTCCAGCAGGCCAGGATCCTGGAGGCAGAAGCTGATGTAGGGGCCATGGAAGGTGGTGCTTACTGGTCTCCCCATGGCTTGCTCAGCTTGATTTCTTACAGAGTCCTGGACCACTAGCCCAGGGATGGCACCACCCACAATGAAATCACTAGTTGAGAAAGTGCCTCACAGCTGGATCTCATGGAGGCATTTTCTCAGCTGAGGCTCCTTTCTCTCTGATGGCTCTAACTTGTGTCAAATTGACACACAGAATCAGCCAGTGCAATACAGAATGCATGGTACATCTGACTCTGCAGAACAGAGGGAAAGTACTGAAACCTTTTCTATCCTAGAGTCCTAAATTGACACCTTTGTATCTTTGTAGATCTTTGAAAGCATTTTCCCCACTCCTTGTCAACTTCTCTCAGCCAGAAGTTCAGTGCTGGGCACTGTGGGCCATACATCATGTTTGCAGTAAAAACCGTATGTATTCAGTGTGCATGTGGGCCATACATCATGTTTATAGTAAAAACCGAATGTATTCAGTGTGCATGCAGAGCACAGGCTTTCAAGCTAATATCCTGAGTAATGATGAGTTTAGAGTTGATTTTAAGAATGTGTTCTACCAAACAAACAAGTACAGCCAGGCAGTGGTGGCACACACCTTTGGTTTCAGCACTTAGGAGGCAGAGGCAGGTGAATCTCTCCTAAATTTGAGGCCAGCCTGGTCTATACAGTAATTTCCAGGAAAGCCAGGGCTACACAGGGAAACTGTCTCTAAAACAAAACTCCCCCCTCCCCCCCTCCCCCCAAAAAAGGATCTTTCCTGGGTCAAGGGAGATGATTACTCAGTGGGTAAAAGCACTTGCTGAACAAGGCTTACAACCTGAGTTGGATCCCCAGAACCCATCTGTCTTCACCTCTTACTGTTCTACTGCTGTGAAGAAACACCCTTATTAAAGAAAGTATTAAACTGGGGGCTTGCCTACCGTCTTAGAGGGCTAGTCCATCATCATGACCGAAAGCAGATAGGCATGGTGATGGAGAAGTCGCTGAGAAGTTTACATCCATTCCGTTGAGCATTTAGATGAGGGGGTCTCAAGCTTCTCTATGAATTTTTATATCCTTACACTGGGAACTGTATAAACTGGTGACGTGACCATTCCATGGTATGTTGGGGGTGGTGGTGGTGGTGGTGGTGGTTCTATTGTAGACAGAAGAGAGAACAGCCAGAGGCATCTGGAGGAGTCTAGAGCAGAGAGAAGCAGACTGGATGTGGCCAGCAGACTGGATGGTCAGGGCTGTCTGAAAGTAGGGGTCCTTATAGGAGAATGGGTATCTGTCAGGGAGGGAAGCTCATGAGCTGGAGGGAGTTTAGGGTAGGAAGGGGGTGAGAAGGTTAGGACTCTGAAATGTGTAACAGGTATTTGTGATCGCCTGGAGCCCAGCATGAGCTCTGATATGCTAATAGGCACCACAGGTAGCCATTTGTCCCTCCTGCCAAAGGTAGGGGAGGTGATTCCTTTCGGTAGAACAGTTTCACAAGGTCCTGAGACTTGCTGGCCTTTATCTTACTGCCAGAAACCCACCCATCGATAAGGTGGAGTTCATTGGACTGCTTTTTGGAGTTTGGTGAATTGGAATTTCCTTTGGATCTACGAGCAACCAGCAAAAGCAGTTAAGTACTGTTAAAACTGCTGAGCCATTTCTCCAGCTCTGGTGTGCTCCTTTTCCTAAAGGCTAGACCTAAAGATGTTTGAAGCATAGAGTTGTCTAGAAAAAGCACACTACAATGACCATCGTGGTTTCACTATATCTAATTACCATGGAATTGGCTCATTTTTACCTGCTAATTCCTGGGCTGCAAAGACTTCTTTCTTTCATGTGAGTGTGGTGAATTATGAACATTTAAAATGCCAGTTATCCATGAAGTCTTTGTTTTCTTTTAGCTAGCAAATACTGCAAGCTGTTGACAGAAGGAGGAGGACTACAGCTCATGTATGATATCCAGGAGCACAGTCAGGCCAGTGCCCAGGTGAGGCAGATGGTGTCCACCATCCTGGAGGAGTTCAGGATGCACTTCACAAGCTACCGGAGACCTCCACAACCCCAGTGCCCTTTTTGACCTAGTTGCCTTTAGGGAATGCTGCTTCTTAAAGACAGGGCTTTTGTCTTTGAGTAATGGGATTTTGAAACCAGTTTTTGGGTTTACCAATTAATTGTTGGCATTTATTAGTTGACTGTCTTGTTACTTTTTCTTGTTGCTTTTCTCTGTGACAAAAAGATTGGGTCCTGGGCTGGGCCGTGGGAGGCAGAGGTAGGTGGATCTCTGAGTTCGAGACTAGCCAGGGCTACACAGAAAAACCCTGTCTTGAAAAAAACAAGAAATGATTGGGTCCTTCCTATTCAGAACAGGGAAGGAAGCCTTAGGGAGACCTTGGTGTTGTTCCATTTCCTTAGCTGCTCCAGGTTGTGTGTGGCCGAGACTGGCCTTGAGTTCAGCAGTCCTGCTCCAATGCTGGACTGCCAGCATGAGCTGCTATGCCCTGTCAGCTTTAATGTTCTTTTCCCTTTTCCTCCAATTGAGGAATTGGATCATTGAGTGTGTGTGAATGTGTGGGGTTGAAGCACAGGCCTGCTGCTGAAGACAAGTTAGAGAAAAGAGCACATTGGAAATTCTCATTTTGGAAAAGCAATGACCAAAGTTGAGAGAAAGATGAAGGGCCCCAGAAAGACTCTGCAGAACATTTCAGCGCATGCTTTTCCTAATGTGGACACAAAAGGGGATGGCTTTATGAGAACCAGCCCTGGCAGAAATGAATACTGTCTGCAGTTTGTGTCCTGCAATACTGTTCTGAGGAACAGAGTATGGATTCCTTCCTTTCCTTGTTCTTAAGTATTTTTCATTCAGTTAGTTTTGAAGAATGAAAGTAGATAGTAAATTCCTCTTTGGATATTAGAGGGCTTTTTTGCTTTAGATATTCTCTCTTCCTCTCTCTCCCCGCCGGGCCCCCCCCCCCCCCCCCTCGCGCGCGCTCTTGCCCTCTCGAGGCCCCCCTACATGGTTCTCACACCCCTTCCTCCCCTGTGTGTGTGTGTGTGTGTGTGTGTGTAGAGAGAGAGAGAGAGTGTGTGTTAGTTGTTTGGGCACCATGTATGAGCCTGGTGTCCACCGAGGCAGTGGATCCACTAGAGCTGTGGTTAGAATGGCAGGGAGCCACACCACATGGGTGTTGGGAACCAAACCTCAGTCCTCTAGAAGAGCAGCAGATGATCCTAACTACTGAGCCGTCTCTGTAGGCCCTGGGATATTAGAGTTTTGTGGTTTTAACTAATGTGGTCCATATTTAAGATCTTAGTATGTGAACGTATGTTGGTATGTACATCCATGCAAACATGCAAGTAAACGCCTGCAGAGGCCAGAAGAGAATTGAATTTAGAGCTAGGGTTACGGGCAGCTGGGAGCCAAGCTTGGGTCCTCTGGTCAAGAGTAGCAAGCACTGTTATTCACTTACTGTTACCCATCTTTCTGGTCAAGTCTCCTAACTGGAGTAGTGTCTAAACTACAGTCCCAGCCATGAGAAGGACCAGGTGGAAGGACCTGAAGTTAAGCTAGCCTTGGCTACATCACCTTGCTTCAGCTCTTCACTGTCTTAGACAAGCAGAGCCTATGCCATATCCGTGAATTGCACTTTTAAGAAAACTCTGCTGACCCGGGCAGCGGTGGCACATGCCTTTAATCCCAGCACTTGGGAGGCAAAGGCAGGTGGATTTCTGAGTTTGAGGCCAGCCTGGTGTACAGAGTGAGTTCCAGGACAGCCGGGGCTACACAGAGAAACCCTGTCTCGAAAAACCAAAAAAACAAAACCAAAAAAAAAAAAAGAAAAAAAAAAAAAAGAAAACTCTGCTGGCTCTTCCCCAGTTACCTGGCAACAGCCAGGCGTGCCCGACTCCCTATAAAAGGGTCTGCTTGCCCCCTCCTCGCTCTCTTCTCTTGCTCCTTACCCTCTTCTTTCTCTCCGTCCCCCTCCTCCGTCTCTCTCCACGTGCTCATGGCTGACCTCTACTCCCCTACTCTCTCGTTCTCTCTGCTCCCCCTCAACTCCCCTCCCCGTTCCCTAAATGAACTCTATTCTACACTATACCTGGTACCTCAGGGGGAACGGGTGCCTCAGCATGGGCCCGCAGAGGTACCCCCTTCCACAAAACCATCCTCTGATACCACACACCAAAACATTCCTTCTCCTCCCTCTTTTTTATAAAACACAACAGCATCTTTCTATACCGGATACTCCTTCAAGTTTGTTTTTCCCAACAGTCCTCTGGGATCCTCGGCTCACTTAGCAGATAAGGCAAAGATCAGGAAAGTTGTGAGGATGGTACTGACTCTTTAAGGCCTAGACTCTGGTTTTTTTCAGGATATAGACAAAAGCTTGCTCTGTGCTTTGGCAGCACATCAACCTGTGCTTCTGTGACTCCAGACCAAGCTTGTGCTGAGGATGCTCAGGCAGAGCTCAGGGAGCCTCGGTAGGAGAGGAGGTCTGAGGACCGGACTATGTATCCCCTTTATTTTCCAAGCTTGTCTGTCACCTTCCAGCTCACTGGTTCTTGTGCCTCTTCAGATGCCACTTGTCTTCCAGGCACCAAGTCCACTCTTGCCCGCCGGATTCCCTGTCCCTTCTCTCAGAGCTGCCAGCCTTTTGTCAGTGTTCCTGGAGACTACCAGAGCCCTTCCTGCCACTGCAGTCTGCAGAAGGCATCCATTGCCCCCAGCCCCAACAGCTCCAGTACAATTACAGGTGCAGCATATTTATTGAACACAAGGATTTTAAGTCATCAGAAACGATCATTTCCAGATACAAAAGCTGAATTCTAGAGAGGTTAAATGATTTGCCCGGAATTCCCTGTGTTACCTGCAGAGAGCTGGAATCTGACACTATCTCAAATAAACCTGGCTGGATTTACTTTGTGAGAGGAAGTGAAGATGTCCTCACTGTTCTATCCATGATGATCAGAGCCAGTGACACAGACCCAAAGTTTATTTGAGTGCAGAGAACCAGGCAGGCCAGGTGGCAGTGGGTGGCATGGTCAGCACCTTGGTTCTAGGCACCATGCTAATCACAATGTCTGTCGTCCTTGTGAAGAAGCTGAGCTAGCCTGCTGTAAACTTTTCCTCTGGATCCTAGGCTTTATGGTGTGTGCTTAAAGGTAGCTGGATCACTTGCCCACAAATTTAGGGGGTCGTTTCTCCCTGAAGGCTGCCATTCCTTCCAGCCTGTCCTGGGTTGGGATGTTCTGCAAAGAACATTAGAATATTAGTTTGGGAGGAATAGGACCAGAGGCCCCAAAAGGCCATTGCATAAATGGATCTACCTGTGACAACATCTAGGCCATGCAAAGTTTGAGCCTCAGAGACTGCTATCTCAGAAAGATCAGCCTCTAGCAGTGTGCAATCACTACTGGCCTCCGCAGAGCTCAGCTCTGAGAAGTTAGAACAGGATCTGGGGAATTCAGTTCACAAGTCCCACGACTCCTTGCTTAGGATTTGTGTGTATTTGTTATGATGGAGAGCTTTCTGCATATTCTAACCACGCCTTAGCATACCAACTCTAGTTTAGCCTCCAATGGAGGCAAATGGTTCTGGGCAGCAAAAGCCACTTTTTCACTCTGTGAAGCATCCATGTGTTCTATGATTCCCTGACTACCAAATGATTAAGGAGAGTCTCCAGGTAAAGAAAGACCTGGTTTCCTTGGAGCTACTCAGGTTAGTGTACACAAACAAACAGTAGTTATATACCTGGGCATAGCACATCTGTTCAATGGCCATCCCTGATGCAATGTCCACCTGTAAAAACATAATCCCTGAGTCAGTATGACTTTCTAACCACATCCACACAGAAGAGCCAGCCCACCCTACTGTCTCTACCAGTCTGAACAGAAATGATTGCTACTTAGTAACTGATGCCTGGACTTCACAGCAGTGATAGAGGATGCTGAGAGAAGGGTGGGGAGGTGTGTGTGTGTGATGTGGTAATGACGTATAGGTGGCTTCTTTTACATACAGAAACATGAGCTACGTGTTTCAGCCACTGTCTCTTCCTCCTGACTGTCTGGCCATGCCTTTGTCACTGGAATGGTCTTTGACAGGACTTAGAAATGAGGCTCCAGTCTTTATGACACTGGCATAGTCACTAGTAAGCACGGTTCAAAACTTACTTTCCAAAACATGTGTTTCTACCTGTTAACACATGGTAGAAGGGTGGGGTAATATTGGTAAGTTACATCTTGCCATCAGTCCTCTTATGTGCCTGCTTTTCTGCTTTAACTTTTCTCTAGAAATACCCCTACCTTCCCCTGCCGCCATTCATGCAAGCATGTTTGCCTGTGCGCACATGCCTCCCCAGCCCCCAGAATCAAGGAATGAACATAGGGCTTCAGGAATGTGAGGCAGAGTAGTTTGGGGTAGCCACAAATTCTCAACTGTCTGAGTTCTGGAATTATAGGTGCCATCATGCCTTGTCACCAATCTTCAGCTCAAGGAAACATTCTTTGTTATTTGAAGATGGGGTTTCTCTGCATAGCCCTGGCCAGCCTTGAAATCTTACTGTCTCTGCCTACTGAGTGCATGCCTGTCCACCCTCAAATTATTTAAGTCAGCACTCCTTGGTACAACAGTCACTATCTACATATAGCTACATAACAAACTGTTCATCAGTAAGAACAAAAGAAACCACTTTACCAGGTCAACCTTCTGCCTCCATCTCCTAGATGTGTGCTATCTTTCTGATGTGAAGGTGATCTGGTGTGACATCTATCACCCCATTGATTGCCAGCCAGGGTTGATCCAGCTGATCTGGCTGGCTAACCAGATGTCCCCTTCCTCCTTTACCACTTCATGTGCACCCCTGCTGAGAGCTTGGCCAGAGGATGTATGATCTTCTCTGAATAGAGTAGCTCTCAAATATCAAAAAAGTGAGCAGTAATTCTTTTCAGAGCTGGGATTGAAGTCTGGGCCTTAGGCTGGCCAGGCAAACCCTGAGCTAGTCCCCTATACTGGCTGTTCTATGGAGAATACCATTAATGCCATGTAAGCAGTGGACTACTTCATCCCTGCATCTCCGTTCATCTCAGGTCTGGTGCAGCATGCAGAAAAGAATTGACAGATAAACTAATGTCCTGTGACCTGCCATTGTGTTATATAACTAACCACCAGCCCAAACACAGGTACATGAGCTGAGGACCACACGGACCTGATTTTTACTGCTCTTTATGTGATCTTTCCTTTCGGGACCTGTTTCTCCTCTGTGCAGAAGTGATGGGAATGGAATGCACTTGAGAGTATTACCATACTTCCCACTGAGGTGAGGTGCATGCACACTGAAATCTCACTCCAGGAGTGTTAGGAGAGTCCACTTTTGACTCTGTCTTTACAGTTGCATGGCAGAAATATACTACATCCTAACCAATGACTGACATAAAAATCCTGACTAGTAGAATCTTACCTCCATTCCTCGATCGATGGCAACTTTGCCCAGGCGCACAGCAATGGGAGCCTAGAGGAGAGAAAACATCCAGAGGCTTGAACTAAAGAAATGTATAGCTCTTACATTTCAGGTACAAGTCTGAGTCTGGGTCCAGCTTTCCCACTGATAAGGATTATTTCTGTGCTGTTCATGCTTCTACCTCTTAAAGCTTCCTCCCTGAAGTTGTCTTTCAGCCTATTCTTCCAACATGTCCTACACATGCAAAGCATGCATGTCTTTGGTGCTGGACATTAAACCCAGAGCTTCGCCCACCTAGGAAAGTGCTCTCCTACAGCCTTAGACCCACAGTGGGCCCCTCACTTCTGAGCAAAGACTTAAGGACAAGACCTTGCTGAGTTGCTGAGGCCAGTTTTTCCCTTGTGGTCCTTAGCCTCAGATTGTAGGGCATATGCCATGTGGTCACAGAGTGCTTGTGGAAAATACATTTTATTGATGCAAAGTAGAGGCTCATGGGATTGAAGCAATGGGCCACATGTATTCAGTGAGTCTCCCAGTCACCTCTCCATTGTTGTTCCTTCCCACCCACCCCTCATCCTAGCAAGTGCTAGTGTTTGGGTTTATTTTATACCTTTCTTGTCTCTCGAGTGATAGCCAATTTAAGTAAAAATGTAAAGTCTCCCAGGACAGGCTAGGAGACCCTAGCTCAAAAATCATGCAAAAATTTTAAAAATCGTCAAAATATGTGAACATGAGCGTGTTTCTGGCCGTGCAAATATATTAGAATTAGAAACAGTGGACAAAATTTCAGATGTTACTCGGGAATAAGTAATGTGTCAGTGTGGCCTGAGTATGTCAACTCCTTTAGTCAAAGGATAACGTAGCTTACAGCATCTACACTCCAGAACCATTTCCTCTTCGGTGGTTTGCCCACTAGGTGATAACTGCTTATACTATCTCTAATCTCTATCCACAAAGTGGGTAGTCGGCCAGTATTGTGATACACAGAGGTTATCTTTGCCTTACTTTAGAGACCAGGTCTCATTATGTAGCTCTGGCTAGCTTGGAACTTGCTATGCAAACCAGACGGCCCTCTGTCAGATTTAAAGGTGTGTGTTACCATTCCTGGCTTTTTACTTTTTTTGGTGGTGCTAAAGGATTGGACCTAGCTAGTCTTGTGTGTCCACTACTGAGTCACATCCCCCATCTTCCTTTAGCTACTTTAGAAGCCCCAAAGTGCCCGTAACTCCAGGATAATGCCGTTGTTTCAGACTTCATCATTTGGAGATCTGAATCACCTTGACTCTGTTGAGTTTACTCAAAAGCCAATACTCAGCCTCCATGTCTGGCTGGCTTGCTAACGTGGCTCCCTCTGTGGAGGCTTCAGTCACTCTCTTGGTCATTCTTAGTTCTATAAGCTCAGAGACACTTTCCACTTATAGACTGTCCCTTGCCAAAGAAAACAACACAGAAAATTGGTGTGAAGACGTTCTCCTGTGAAAAAAACAAATTGCAGGTCTGGAAACTTAAACACAGGATCTTAGTAGGACAGGCTGGTTTTGAACTCAAAGAAATCCTCTTACCCCAACCTTCTGAGTGTTAGGATTACAGTTAGCTGCCAAAACTGGTTTTAAATATAATCTTTTGTTTTGTTTTTTGAGGCAAGTTTTCTCTGTGTAGCCCTAGCCAGAAACTCAGAGATTCATCTGCCTGTGTCTCCCAAGTGCTGGTATTAAAGGTGTGAGCCACCATTGCCTGGCTCAAATGGTAAACTGGTGTATGGCTAATTTTTTTTAAGTTTATATTTTGGCTGTTTTGTTACATTTTTAAATGTTTTGGAATATTATTTGACCTCAAATACATATTCTACTTATGAGTGTCTATGTGTTTGTACGTATGTATACCTATGTTGGTGTGTGAAGACCAGGTGATACCCCCAGCCTCACATCTCCTCCTTGGGGATGCTGGTCCACATGTTTTGAGACATGATCTTTCTTTGGTTCCCCAATTAAGTTTAAAGTAGCTAGTCTCCAAAGTCCTGGCTTTTTTTTTTTTTTTTCAGGGGGTTTGGGGGGGGTAATCTCAGATTCTCATGCCTGGGAAACAAACCTCCCTCATCACATATTCAGTCTTTTGTTTGTTTGTTGTTGTTGTTTTTTTTTTTTTTTTTTAAAGACAGGGTTTCTCCCAAGCGCTGGGATTAAAGGCGTGCGCCACCACTGCCAGGCTATTCTGCAGTCTTAAAATAAGTCTTACTGTAATTCAATGCCACCGGCACTTGGGACCTTGAGGTCAGTTGCTTTACACCTTGAGAGCTCTCAACCCTGCCTCCTGCTCCAGCTTCTTTTGTGAAAAGCCAGCAAGCCATGGTCTCAGATACCCAAGTCAGCTAGATCCTTGAGCAGGTCTAAACCTGCTCAGCAAGCAGTGTAACCTTGTGACATCACCCCAGAACAGATAGCCCGGGCTAGCCTTTAACTCACTAGCTAAGGATCAGTGCTTGCTCGGCTTGCATGAAGTCCTCTCTAGGACTCCTATCCTTCCATACAGTATGGTAGGAAAGGTGACTAGTACCAGCATATCTAGTTTTCCAGTCCTTGGGGACACACTATCACATGCACCTCTTGGCATTTGTGAGGTATCTAGTGTGGATGAGGGACTGTTTGACTTCACCCTGCCACCATGCTCCATACAAGAGATGAAGGTAGCTATCATCACAACTACTAGATATTGTATGTAGCTTTGATGGCTTGAAGCCACCAGATCGCAATCCTGAATTCACTTCGTGTTTTAATTTGGAATTAAAGTTGGTGGTAGGCTGGGCAGTGGTAGCACATCCCTTTAATCCCAGCACTTGGGAGGCAGAGGCAGGCGGATTTCTGAGTTCGAGGCCAGCCTGGTCTACAGAGTGAGTTCCAGGACAGCCAGGGCTACACAAAGAAACCCTGTCTCGAAAAAAAAATAAAAATAAAAAAAATAAAAATAAAGTTGTGGTAGATAACAGAATAGGTGCCAAAACTCTAGGGGGTTATATTTTATGTCTTTGGGTTATGTGGATCTTATGCAGCTCCAGGAAACATCTGGCCCCTGGGCCTCCTACCCCTCCTTTCTGTGCCCCAGCCATCACCATACCTGGGGCAGGATCTCCTGTGCCAAGGCCAGGGCCCGGTGGTAGGCAGCATCACCCTCCTCATTCTGAGCCACAGCATGATTTACCAGGCCCAACTCGTGAGCCTGTGCCCCATTCAGTCTCCGGCCTGTGAAGATGAGCTCCTTTGCTAGGGGCACGCCCAGGCAGCGGGGCAGTCTCTGAGTCCCTCCTGCCAGTGTGGAGAGAAGAGCAGGGAGTCAGGTTGAGAGAGAGAGACAGATCTAGAGAAGCTCATCTTGGGAAAGGTCAGGACAGAAGGAGGGGCATAGAATCAGGTGACGTTACCTGCTCCTGGGAGAAGTCCTCGAGTGGTCTCAATTAGCCCCATGACAGCCGAGGAAGCTGTTTAAACAGAACAGAATGAAGTTCCTCCCTACCCATCCTCCATTACTACTAGACCACAGCTGTCTCCTCAGCTACGTCCTTGTGGTCTGGCCATGCTCAGGAAGAATCCTAGCCCAAGTGGGGAGGCCCAGGCCAGCAACCACTACCCCAGCTGCTGTAGCTGTGAGTCACCAGGTTTTCCCTTCTTGAGCATCCATGATGGAAAATGACTGCCCTTCTGCCCATGACAGACAGGCTAGGGAACAAAAACTACATGCCTGGATATATATTTTAATATTTCTGGGTTTGAAAGAGTGGGTGAGCACAGCGGTGACACTCTGTCTACCTCTAAGAAAGGCTCTCCCAGCTAAAAGTGACAGTGACCTTTGTTATCCTCTACTACTTAGGGCTCAACTGTAATCACAAGCCTGATGGGTATCACAAACCAGATGACACTGTCCAGTGACTTCTGCAGTGAGCTAGGATAGTGAGAAACAGTCCTCATGGCTCACCTTGGTTCAGCTCAAATAATCTGACTTGGCCAAACCTAGATGGTCAAACTCCCTAACTTCATCCTCTCTGGCTTCCCCTCCTTCTGCTCCCTGATCAGCTATGGCTCGGGGGTTTTGAAACCATTCCTGGATGAGGAAAGCAACTCTCACAGGCATGGTGTGACAGCAGTGGGTGGTGAAGCAGCTTCGCCAGCTACCTCTGTCTCCTATGCTTGCCTCAGCTTTTCTTTTGTTTGGAAGTCCAAGAGTGATGGCTGACCTAACAGAAACCTGGTTTTCACAGTTTAGCTTGCTTGTCCTGTCCCATCCTCCCAGCTCCCCCTACCAAGTACCTGCTATTCGGAGGTCACAGGCCAGGGCAAGTTCCAAGCCCCCACCTAAGGCAAACCCGTCCATGGCTGCAATGGTGGGCGCAGGGAAGGCTGCTGTGGAGACAAAGACTGGGGTTCAGCCTGCAAAGGCTAGCAGGTCCAGGACAGAGGGCCAAGGCTGGTAGCCTAGAGGGTCCTGTAGATCCCAAGATTAGGGAACCTCACATGGTACCTCAGCCAGGTTATCTGGGAAGGAAACTTTTTTCAAATAAGGTAAGTTTTGGGCCCAATCGGGGATTGGGTACAGGGAAGTGGGCTGGTGTCAGGAGGCCCACTCTCTTGCTGGGGGACCTGCCTTCCTGTGTGCCAAGCCCTGGGCAAGGGTACCAGCACGCATTGGCAGCCTTAAAGGGTGGCTGCAAATTCAGGTAGCTGGGAAGTGTATGCCATGCATTAGGAACAGCCATTATCAAAGCCTGAAAATCTGTTTAGTGAACTTGGCTGCTCTTGAGTGGACAGGAACTCAGAGGTCCACTGGTTACTGGGCACATGGTTAAAGAGCTAAGGTTACTTCTCTAATAGAAATAGCTTGTAGCATAGTGGCATATGCATATCTGCAATTCCAGCAATGGAGGAAGTCCAACTTAGACTTCCTAGAACGTCTAAAATCATAGTTTTTTAAAAGGAGGAAGAGAAGGTATGCCCCTCCCCCTCCATGTAACCCCTTGTACCCCTCATGAGAGAGTCATCTGTGTCCCCACAGAGCTCATCAGAGTGCTCTCTTTGGAGAAGGGGGGGTGGCGCTCAAGGCAGAGGAAGTGCCATCAGGGGGAGGGAGGGTTTCCAGCCTTCCATCCCACTCCGTCCAGCCTTCCACCCCACTCCGCCCAGCCTTCCATCCCACTCCGCCCAGCCCTCCATCTCACTCTCACCGATCTCATTCATCAGGCCTCGGAGCCGCTGGACAAAGGTCCCCACCTCCACAGCACCCATCCGCTCCCGTTCCTTCAGGTCTGCACCTGCAGAGGGCAAGCCGCTGGTGGCCACTACGAAATGGCCCGTTAGAAAATCCCAGGTGGTTAAAGGAACCAGCAAAGGAGATGGAAGGAAAGGAACCAGGAAACCCAGTCACAGGAGCCAGTGCGGGAAGCAGGTATCAGTGCAGAGAGGGGTAACCACAGCATCAAAATAAAGTGGGACTGCTTCAGAGTGAACATCCTTTGTACATCAAAGAACACTGTCAGGGGCTGGAGAGATGGCTCAGTGGTTAAGAACCCTGACAGCTCTTCCAGAGGACCGGATTCAATTCCCAGCACCAGGTTGGTAGTTTACAGCCATCTGTAACTCCAATCCCAAAGAGTCTGACACCCTCTTCTGGATTCTTTGGACACTGGATGCATTCATGCCCCAAAACACCCATACACATAAATTAAGAATAAATCTTTAAAAAAAAAAAACATAAAAATAGAACACTGTCAAGAACATGAAGTGAAAACAATTTTCCTTTTTCCCCCCTAGATACTGTCATACCGTGTAGCCCTGGCTGTCCTAGAACCCACTATGTGGACCAAAGTGGCCTCAAACAGAGGTCTGCCTGCTTCTGCAGAGTGCTGATATTAGAGGCATGTCACCACACCTGGCCTTTAAATATTTCATTTTTATTTTAAATGGTGTGTTATGGTTATGTGCATGTATACAGAGGCCAGAAGAAAGCAATAAATCTATTGGAGCTGCAGTTTCAGATGGTTGTGAGCCATCTGACTTGAGTGCTGGGACCCAAACTCAGGGCCTCTGTAATAGCTCTTGAAGAAGAATGATCCGGATATGCTCAGTCACTATGAAGTAGCACTGTTTGAGAAGGATTAGGTGTGGCCTTGTTGGAGGAAGGGTGTTGCTGCCAGCCTTCCTCCCCTACCCCTTAGCCCCACTTTCCTTTTCCCTCTCTCTAACTTCAGATCAGGGTTAGCTCTCAACTGTTTTCCAGCACCACACCTGTGTAAAACAAGAGCATATGCTCTTAATTACCGAGCCATCTCTCCTGCTCCAGTGAGAAAAGACTTTCCACAAAAACAAGACTCACAACCTGGGGCGGGGGGTGGCACACTCATTAATTCCAGCACTCAGAGGTAAAGATATGAGGATCAGAAGTCCCAGGTCACCCTCAGCTACAAAGAGTTCAAGGCCAGTCTGGGCTACAGGAAAATGTCTCTTTAAAAAGAAGAAAAAAAATAGTAAAAGTTAATTATTAATCCTTTTTATCTTTTTGTTGGTCTCAAAAGTGCTGGGAATATAGCATGTGTCATTGTGCTTAGCTAATTGTTTTTGTCTTGTTTTTGAGACAGTGTTTCTTTATGTAACAGCCCTGGCTGTCCTCGAACTCACTTTGTAGACCAGGCTGGCCTTGAACTCAGAAATCCAACTACCTCTGCCTCTCAAGCACTGGCACTGAAGGTGAATACCACCACACCCAGCCTATTAATTCCTTAAATGTTGGGTCAGTGGGGTCCAAGGGAGATGATGGCTAGGTTGGTTTTTTTTTTTTCTCTCTCTCTCTCTTATAGGCTTGGGGTGCATGATTTTCTGACCTTTGAAACAAGTTCAAGGTCTCCTTGTGAGAGCCAGATTATGCAGGTTTGAGCAGCTCTAGTGACAATGATTGACATTTACCTTGTGAGCATGTTGGGACTCAGTGTCTCCATTTCCTCCATAAAGGGTCAGAAGAAAGCAAGGTAGAACAGAAAGAACAGATATGGGTCAGAGAGGGCAGTTCAAATTGAATCTTACTCTCTCCCTTCCCTCACTAAGCTGTGTAAACCAAACTTGGCAAGGAACTTTACCTCCCTGCGTCTTCAAGTGTCTGTAAAATGGGAACCTGTCCTATGCTAGAGCCCTAAGACACCCTAATCCCTGAGGAGAGGGTGGCAGGGAACCCACCTGCACAGAACACACCCTTTACTGCACTTCTGAAGAGCAGGACTCGCACTTGCTGGTCTTCCCGAAGCTGGGCCAGAGCTTCCAGCAACTGTGGAGGACAGAGGACAAATACAGTCAGATACGTCCCGGCCCATCCCTGGCCACACCAGAGCGTACCCTTACTCACCTCACTAACAAACACATTTCCCAAGGCATTGCGGGCATGAGGTCTGTTCATCAGAATCTCAGTGATTCCTGCAAGGGATGGGCATCTTTAAGTGACTGACAGGAAGCTGGAGCGAGCGAGCTGTCAGTCACTGCTCAGAACTAAGGCCTGGAGGCAGGATGCGTGTAAGCTGCAGCAAGCCACACAATCGGGTCTCAGTTTCTCCAACCATTAAATAGAATAACCCGGGGAAGGGGGTAGAAGGGCTTGTGGACCGTGAGATAAAGTAACATGAGAAAGGGACGACCAGCATGGCACACAGACCCACAAACCCACTCATGTACGTGTTGATCCCATAGCTTCCACCCCCAACCACACATTTTCCTCTACAGAGTAATATTCAGGCTAATATCCTTCTATCCACCAGTCAGGAACAAGAAATCAACATGAAACAACCACCACCAGGACCTCACCATGGGCCCTGAACATGACAGCTCCCTCTCCTCAGCTTGTAGTAATCATCTTCATGGCTCTTTTTCCAAAAAATTATTACTCTTAATATTATGTGAAGATGGGGTCTAAGTAACCCAGACCGGCCTCCAACATGCTATGTAGCCAAGAAGCCACCTTGAATGTCTGATGCCACTGCCTCTACCCTGTTAAACATTGGGATTACAGACAAGTGCCACCACACCCAGTTTATGTGTAAGTACACTACCAACTGAGCAACTCGGTCCCAGAAAACTTATTTATTAGAGGCAGGGTCTCCAAAGTATCCCTTGCACACCTGGAATTCACTATGTAGATCAGTGATTCAGCCACTTGCCTCTAGTTTTTGTTGTTGTTTTGAGACAATGTCTAATACAGCCCAGGGCAGTCTTGATCTCCTGATTTCCTGCTTCTACCTACCAAGTACTGGGCTTAAAGAGTACACCACTATGTCAGCAAGAGATCCAATCTTTTTTGTTGTTGATTCAATTTTTTTTTGTTTGTTGGTTTTCTAGACAGGGTTTCACTGTGTAACCTTGGAAGAGATCCAATCTTACGAATACTAATTCCAGGGTCTGTTGCTGTCAAGCCTAACAATTTAAGTTCATCCCTGGGACCCACATAAATGAAGAATCAAAACCTTCAAGTTATCTGCTGACCCTCCACACACCAAAAATACATGTTCCTGGCTTGTAGAAATCTCTTATTTTTGGGAGTGGGCCAGTCAGCTATTTGCTTACTAGTTCTGCCCCAAGCCAGAAGTTGCCAGCCAGACTGACTTCAGAATAAGTCCAGTTGTTCGGAACAGTGACTTCAGGATCACTGTGGGGAAATGCCACTCCAGGATGCACTGATGTAACCATAGCTGCTGCTGAAGCCACCAGCTTCTGCTTTGGATCTTCTCTTGTCAGAGCTGTCTCAGGCTATGCCTGCTGGAAACTTCAGCTTATTTCCCTGTGACCAGGTTTGCAGCTTCTCAGCAGACCCCTCCTTTCACTCCCCCTAGTGACCAGCAGGCGTAAAGTCTTACTAGAAAATTGTAGGCTTGCTACTGGAAAGGATGAAAGACAGGTGTTGTTAATTACGTTGGAATTCTTTTAAAATTTTCATTTATTGTGGGGCCATGGTGGCAGACGCCTTTAATCCCAGCACTGAGGAGGCAGAGGCAGCTGGATCTCCAGGTTCCAGGCCAGCCTGGTCTACATATTGAATTCCAGGACAGCCAAGGGATACACAGAGAAACTCTGTCTCGGGGGAGGAAAAAAAAGAAAGAAAAACAAAACAAAGAACCCAAGGAGAAAACAAACAAAAATTACATTTACTTACTATCTATTGTGTGTATGTCTGTACGTGTGTGGACATGCACATCCCATGTCCAATGTGTGGCAGTAAGAAGACAACTTGAATGAGCTGGGTCTTTGTTTCCACCATGTAGAACTCTGGATTAAGCTTGGATCATGTCAGGCTTGGGTAAGGGCTGTCTCCCCAAGCCATCTCGGCAGTCCATTTGTAATCTTGTTGTTATTATACACAAGGTCTCACTATGTATTATTATTATTACTATTTTTTTTTTTTGGTTTGGTTTTTTGAGACAGGGTTTCTCTGTGTAGCCCTGGCTGTCCTGGAACTCACTCTGTAAACCAGGCTAGCCTCGAACTCTCAAACTCAGAAATCCACCTCCCTCTGCCTCCCAAGTGCTGGGATTAAAGGCATGCGCCACCACTGCCCGGCTATTATTACCATTATTAAACACAAGGTCTCATTATGTAGTCCTGGCTGTCCAAGAACCTGCTGTTAACCAAGCTGGCCTTGTACAATTGGAGATCCACCTGCCTCTGTCTCCCAAGTGCTGGCATTAATGGTATGTGCTACCACGCCAAGCCCCAAGATGCAATTCTTCATTCTCTCTTGCCCAGAGGCTTTAACTAGACTTCAGGTTGGGGTAATCCTTTCTCTTCCTATGTCCCCATAACTTTCTCTGTCTGTCTATTCTGCCTCAGTGAGACGCTGGTGGTACTTTGTGTCTGTCAAAAATGATGTGCACAGAGGGTCATGTTAGGAAGGTGGTGGTTTAGGTTTATTCAGAAAAACAGCTATTCGAAATTTGGTGCAGGCCTCAAAGGGCTTTGAAAAGACGCTATAAAAAGCCCAGTGCAATGTCATCTGTGTAAGTTACAACTGATGCAAGGGGCCAGCAAGACCTCTCAGTGGGGGCTGGAAAGAGGGCTCCACAGATAAGAACACAGGCTGCTCTTCCAGAGGATCTGGGTACAAGTCCCAGAACGCATGTGGCTGTTCACAACAGTCTGTAACTCCAGTTCTAGGGATAGAACACCCTCTTCTATCCTCACAGGCACTCATGTGATGCACAGACATGAACGCCAGCAAAGAGCCTAAGAAATGATTTTTTAAAAAAATGCGCCCTGTGGCAAATGCAACTATACACGTTCAGTAATAAAAGGTAAAGAAGCGGAACGGTGGTGGTGCACACCATTAATCCCAGTACGCGGGAGGCAGAAGCAAGTGGATCTCTGTAAATTTGAGGCCAGCCTGGTCTACAGAGCAAGCCCCAGGACAGCCAAGGCTGTTACACAGAGAAACCCTGTCTTGGGGGGGGGGGGAATAAACAAACAAAAATGAAGAACAAGAAGAAAATAAATCTGACAGGAACAATACAACATCAAACTTGGGAACGGGGATGGGACGAGGTTACACTGGGGAGAGAGATCCCTACGCAGCTAACGCACCTGGGGCCCTAACAAACACCCTTGCGGCACAGTATATTTTTTACAATAAAAGACCTTGCTGCCGCCGAAGGCTGTGAACTTTCCCTGTGTGTCCGTGGACACTGTCCCTCTCTCCCTCCTTGTCCCCTCAGGTCCAGCCAGATTGGCTCTGCCGCCTCCCTCCTTCCCGGATCATTGCCAAGGCTCCACGAGGGAAAAGTACTGCCCAGCACTCTTGTCCTGATCTCCTGGCACACAGCCCTGCTCCCAGCTCTCCTCTCGGCTCCACACCTCCCCAGGCCTCCAGAGGGTTTGGGGAGCTCCCTGTTTGCCCCGTTTGAGATCCAGTCCTGCTCTCCCGCCGCAGTCTCCCCGCGTGTTGGGACTCGGCACACAACTTTACCTTGGTTGGGACCTGTCAGCGCCTGCACTTGGATTTCGGGTGTCCTGGTCGTCGCATGGGAGGCACAGTCGCGGGCCCCTGGGGACATCCAGGGGCGCGGGAGGCGCAGCGCGCGGGGCAGGGCGCGTAGCATCGGGGAACAGGCCGGCGAGGTGGCGCGGAGAACAGCGACCTCCTCAGCTGAGCTGGAAAGTCGAAGTTCCGGGGCGGGCAAGGTCTCGACAAGGGCTCCACCTACGGGCGGAGAAAAAGGTGCGGCGGTCTGCGACCCTGCAGACCCCGAGGCCACTGGTGAGCAAAAGCCCAGCTCCTCCGTGAGGTCTGGGCATGCTGCAGATTTCCTCCGAATACGCGGCTAGGAAGATAGTGTCTAAAACCGAATGTGTTGTGTGCACATTCTTCACGTGTACCCTCAGTTCGTGTCATTTCATTAGTCTGGACTCATTGACAAGGTCTCATCTCCGAGAGGCTATAAGATTGCGTCTGGCGATCTCAACTCGACTAAGTACTTTGGCTCACAGAAATAGTTAGGAACTGCCAGTTTCTGTCCTCCACCGTCCACCTAACCTACCTAGGCCTACCAGAGGCCTAGCAGGGGCCTGGGTGGGCAATCCAGGGTAAATCAATCAAGCAGCTGAGGTGAACAGTAAAGATATGGGTGCCTCGCTAGGCCATCTAAGAGTAAATAAAACTCAAGCCACTGATGTTTGTACGTGTGGGAGCAGAGGAAGAGGGGTGTCTCAGTTAAACAGTACCACAAATAGCCAGAGCTCATCTTAGCTACATAGTGATCTGAAGAACAGCCTGTGGCAAGCAAAACAAAATAACACAGCAAACTATAAAATCTATTTTCAAAGTACTAAAAGGAAAAAAACCTGTTTATCAAGAATTCCATGTTCAGTAAACTGAAGAATTTGGGTGCTGTGATTTTTAATCCCAGATCTCCAGGAGCTGAGGTAGGCAGAGTCCTGTGTGTTCAAAGCCAGCGCAGGTACAGCCAGTCTACATATAGATTTTTGGGATCAGCCAGGGCGAAAGAAGAAGAAGGAAGAGGAAGGAAGGAGGAAGGAAGAAAGAAGAAAAAAGATCCTTGCAAAGTTATCAAAAGAGAACAGGAATCAGTCAAAATGAGTTTACTTGTCTATCTTTATGTGTGTGAGGGTTTTGCCTGTGTACCACCTGTGTGCCTGGTTTCCATTGGAGGACTGAAGACTGTCAGTCCTTACCTTTTCTGAACTGGAAAGACAGGCAGATTGCTGTGAGTTTAAAGGCAACCAGGGTTATATAATCAGACCCTGTCTCAATTTTTAAAAAGTCTTTTTTGTTGTTGTTGGTTTTTTGTTTGTTTGTTTGCTTGTTTTGTTTTTCAAGACAGGGTTTCTCTGTTTAGCCCTGGCTGTCCTGGAACTCACTCTGTAGACCAGGCTGGCCTCTAACTCCGAAATCCGCCTGCCTCTGGCTCCCAAGTGCTGGGATTAAAGGCAGTCCTGCTTTAAAAAGTCTTTTAACCTAAAAAGTTATTTTTATTTTGGTGCATGAATGTTTTGCCTGTGTGTGCCTGTGCGCCATGTGTTAGCCTGGTGCCCCAGAGCCTTAGAGGTATCGCCTGAAATGAGTTACAGAGGTTTGTGAGTCTCCAAGGGGAGCTAGAGGTCGAATAAAGATATCTGCAAGACTTAGACCTGATTCAAATTCAGATTAGATGGGCTAGTTCTTATCAGTAGCAGAAGGACTGGCAATCGGGCGACAACACTAAGTGAGGTACAGAAGTGGAGGTCAAAGGTTTTAAGGGCAGACTTCAGAAAGGAATGCATTTCAAAGATCTGTAGAACTCACAACTGGGCAGGAGAATTATCCTTCCCTCCATTGTCTTTTCCTTCCTGATACTTAGTAAGCAATAAAAGACCATTTCATCCCTCCCCCACTGGGCTAAGCCTATTTTACTGAAGCAAAGGCAGTGGTTAATTCCTCACAACCCATTATCCTGTTCTTTTTGTTTGGTTTGGTTTGGTTTGGTTTGGTTTGGTTTGGTTTGGTTTGGTTTGGTTTGGTTTGGTTTTTCACAATAGGGTTTCTCTGTGTCACCCTGGCTGTCCTGACTTTCAGGCTGTAGAGCCCAGAACCTGAAGATCCTCCGGTCTCCAACTCCCACACTAGGGTTTAAGGGCAAGCACCACCATCTTCTGACTCCATTATCCTAGTCTTACCACACCCGAAGGTCACTGGAATCTCTAGGGCATTCCAGAGCAAAAGGTCAACTGCCCTCAAGGGATGCCAGGCTCCATATTAAGTCATCACAGGGACCAGGTAAGGAACTCAGGTTAATGAATTTCAGGTCTGAGCACTCCAGTGACTGGGATACAGCAGTTCATTTCTGGTCAGGTAAAAACATGGTGTCATGTCCACACAAAACAACAACAACAAAACCATCTTAGCCCCTCTTTTTTTTTTTTTTTTTTTTTTTGAGACACAGTTGGGCCGGGAGATGATAAAGGACAGAGAGAAAGGAGGTTTGATCAATGTGACAATGTTAGGAAAAAGAAATAGAAAGGTTTGATGGACCCAGGTCTGTCTTTGGAGCCCTGAAAGGTTCATGTGGGTGGAACATTTGAATAGAAAAACAAGGGCAAATAGTGTGTACAATTGATGTCTCTTGGCCGCACGCGTGTGTGGTCTGGCTGATCAACGTCTCTGTTGTGTTTCTTCAAAATATTCCAAAGAATCCCTGTTGCTTAAGCTGCTAGAAGACATTGGGTGTACTCCAACACACAGCCTTGCCCTCTCTGTGAGTGGTCTTGGTCGGTTTGCTGTTCTGGGAATTCAACTTGACTGCAGTTAAGACAAGGACTAATTTCAAAGGAAAAGATGCAACCAAGGTGATAACAGGGAGACAGATGTATCTTGCACCCATCCCCAAATTGAAGAAAATATAGAAATATACCAAAGACTGTTCACAATGGTTCCTGTACAGTGTCCTGAGTTTTCATTGGAATATAGTTATTTCATTAAGAAAAATGTTTCCTGGTGGTGGTGGTGATGGCACACACCTTTGATCTCAGCACTTGGGAGGCAGAAGCAGGTAGGTCTCTGAGTATGAGGCCAGCCTGGTCTACAGAGTAAGTTCCAGGACAGGCACACAGAGCTACACAGAGAAATCAAGTTTCTAAAAACCAAAGAAAGAAAAGAAAAGAAGAAAAGAAAGAAAAAAAGGGGAGAAAATGTTTTCTAAAGACAAAACAGAAAGACTAGGGGTTAGGGTTAGGGTTACTAACAAACTGCAATCATGAACGACGAACAACCACTACCCCACACCTCTGGGGACTCTAGCATTTATGTACCCTCTGAAAAGTTCCCAGAATCCTACCCCTCACACAACTGGCAAAACCAGGCTTCAGCTAAAGCACAAGGCAAATCCTAGTCAGCCAGCTACGTAGGATGGTCCAAAGCAGCTCAACATCCCTACACCTGGGATTAAAACAAAATCATATTCTTATAATGTTTCTGTTTTTTTTTTTAAGAACTCAAAATTCCAGAATCCTCACTACACTAAAGGTGTGCACTGATATGCTCAGTTTAAGAAGGCAGCTCTCGTCACATCCATGAGAAACCAGGACACCGGAAAACAACTGCCTCAGTGGTGCTGTACTAAACAGGGAGAGTGCTTGCTTAGCATGCAGAGAGCCTTGTTTCGGTCTTTGGTATGGCATAAACCTCACTATGGCATCCTTAGATGGTAGTACAGACCTATAATACAAGTTCTCAGGATCTGGGAGCAGGAGGATCAGAAGCTGAACTCAAGGCCAGTCTGAGATATATGAGAACATCTCTTAAAATAAGATGAAACTACCAAACCAAGCATATCACATTTGGGAGCAAGCCACACAGAGGGCTGTCCTTGGGCAATGCATGGTCATGGTTTTGCTGGCTCTCGCCATTCAGAGGGACAATGATTGTTGTGATCATGTCACACCTGTGTGGATCTAGTATTTTCAAACTGGTTGGATATTTGTGTCTTCTAGTGTAAGACTCTAGTGAGCCTTAGCTTACCAGAGAACCCCTGAGTGAACCGTGCGGAGATGTGAATCGATTCAAAATATAAGAGGAATTTTAATGATCCAATGCATTGAGGCCATCCTGCACCCGAAGGAGAGGTGGCAACTCCGGGCAGTCCATTTGGTCAGTTTTTATACAGTTTAAGGGGTGGACTGGAGAAACAGCAACTAGGCACAATATGATTGGCAGAACAGTGTGACTTTTAAACTGATTGGTCTTTAGGGAGTGAGGTGGCAAAGACCTCCCTTGTCTGTAGGTGGCAAGGGTTGGTCCATCCTGCAGAATGTGTCTATGTGCTCTGGGCCTTCCCCACCAGCAGGTAGGTTCCCTGTGGTCTGAGGAATGTTAATCAGCCTCTCCCTTCCTCCTCATCCACCACAGTAGCTGTTTCCTGCTTGGTGGGGAAAGCCCCAACCCATCTAGAGATAGTATCTATAAATACTAGAGGGTATCCATATGTTCCTGGCTTAACGTCTGTAAAATCGGCCTCCCAATATACTCTAGGCTGTTCTCCCCTAGGTATCTTTCCCTGTTTACTCTTGACCATATGAGCGTTTACCTCCTGGCATACCTTTCACTGTTCTATTGCTTCTCTGGCCTAAAACCTGAGGTCCATTATATATACCTTAGACCCCTTGACTGCTTGGATGCGCTTATCTCTCAAATGAGTCCATCTGTGCATTTGGCCTAGTAAGTCTTTTGCTTGCTTTCTGGGGAGTATAGTTCTCCTTTCTTGTGTGCACCATTGCCCTTTCTTTTCTAGGCAATAGTTGGTAGGGTGGCTAGCAATCTGAGTCCTTTCTTCTTCCATGTGTTTTTGAAAGACTCCCTAGAACCAAAAATAGACTCGGGTACGACGAGACCCCCAAAGACACTCCAGAGACCTCTTGCTGTAATAACATAAGTCAGGTTTTTTACTATATGAAGCTTCAGGCCAAAACATGTCTCACATTGGAGACAGAGGATTTGACCCTGAGATCTAATAGCTTAGGGTATTTAAAGGTAAAGGCGGGGGATGGGGTGGGGAGGAAGGGGTTGTGGCACAGTCATATACAATTGGCTGCTTCAAACATCTGTAATGTGTGTAAACGGATCTCACGAGAACTGTCCCTGGTTTCTGTGGCCTTGGGACCCAGTGTGAATTTTATCTGAGCCAGCTCACCACCTGGCAGAATTTAATTAGCAAGTCCTTGGGCCCTTTGGTGGGAGTTTTTCCAGAGAAGGCTAAAACATCACAGGAACAGATGGGTGTTTCAGAATTTACCCTTGGGCACTTTCCCTATCTTCCACAGCAGGTGGATCTTTGGAGCACTCAATTGACCTTTGTTTCCCTGCATCTTCTGTAACAGCCTTGGGTTAACAAGTTAGCTTATTTTTAACTATTTGTATTAGTGAATTGAGGCTTTCTGTTATACTATTTAACTAACTTAAAAAATACATTTTCATTTTAAGTGAGATCATCCCTTAATCCAGTCCCTTTCCCAGCGGGTGTCTCTTGCAGGTCCATAGCTGGGATAGGCTCCTGCATAGCCACTTCTTGAGCCACTTGATCTGCCTGGTTATTGCCTCAGGCCACTGAGTCTCTTCCCTTCTGGTGTCCTGGGCAGTGAATAGTACTCACAGTTGCCAGCTTCATCCGGACATCCAAGAGATCCAAGATTTCCTCTGACGTGAGCAGTCAGTCCTCTCTCTTGGTATATAGCCCCGTGGACATGGGCTGTGGCAAAGGCATACCTGCTATCCATGTAGATGTTAATTTTCTTGCTGGTCCCAAGTTCCAAGGCCACTTTATGTGCTGACATGCCTGGGGCAGGGGCGGGGGAGGGGAGGGGGGGTGTAGAGGTTCAGCCCAGATGACATTTGTGCCATCTACCACAGCAGCACCTGCTTGTTTCTGACCAGCATGGAGAAAACTGCTCCTGTCTGTAAAGCAGGTAGCCTTGGCTCCCTGCAGGGATCAGTAGGAGAGGTCTTTCCTCCACCCATGGGTTCTCCTTTTGGGCCAGTTAGTTGTGGCCTGTCAGGCAGGAAGTGTATCTGGGCCCCCGTCTTGGAGAGTAAGTCTCACTCCAACAGAGGGTAGGGACAGTCTGGAATGACCATAAATGAATGGGACACCTGGCCTATCTTTAGGTCTACTGTTGTTCCGGTAGTCCATGAATACATTTTGGTGCCAGTGGCTCCTTAGACCCAAGATCTTTTCTTGGAAATGGGGCGATTTGCTTGGAGGAGAACTGAGTGTTGAGCCCCTGTGTCCACCAAGAATTAAGTGGGTTTCCCCTCCACTTTCAAGGTCTTCCCCCAGGGCTAACACCTTCGCCGTTTGGGGATGCCTTTCCCAAGGCCTGGGATTTCCCGCCCCCAGCTTCCATTTGTTAGGGCATGGTCCAGTGGCCCCTCTTCCTGCAATGTGTGCACTGTTCCTTTTCAAGGAGTTTTCTGTCTCTCTTTGATTAGAGTCTCCCTTCTCTGTTTTCCCTGACTACTGTAACCAAGATTCTCTGTGAATTCCTTTCCTGTTGCCTCTCTTTTTCTCATCTCTCTTTTATTGTCTTCCTTTTTCTTTCTCTGCTCTTTCTCTGTCTCCTGTTATGGTAGACTTCCTCAGCAACCTACACTAAATCCTTTAATGACTTATCCAGTAGTCCTTCTAGCCTCTGAAGCTTTTTCCTGATTTCTACTAGCCTGGCCTATATAGGCCATAGTGTGTACTGACAGAATTCCTCCATGAGCCGTTATAGGGGCCTGTGTGCAATTCATCTGATCCCTGTCCCCTTGAGACCTGCCAGTGGAGTCTTGTAGTAGGCTTTTAGGTGCCCCTTACCTTCTTCTGCACTAAAGTCCCAGTCAGATCTAGTCAGAAGAAACCCATGTCTGAAGGGACATTCTTTCTGGCTTCCTGCATTATTCTCTCTTGCTCTTCCATCCTGAAGAGCACTAAAACAGTCTCAAAGAGAATAATCAGCCCCTCGGGGTTATCTGAAAGGGGGATGTTAGGCCCTCAGTGGGTAGGAGAGCCGCCATGATATCAGGGGAAGTGGCTCTCAAGACTTCAGGTCCCCATGGTGGGACGGGGAAGTTAAGGGAATCTCCTCCTGCTCCTCTCTCCGGTAAAGGGGGGTACAGTGGCCCCAGTATGGTATCGGCTGAGGATCCTAGTGCTGGCACTGGTGGGGCCATGGGGGCAAGAGTAGGGGGATACGGAGGAGGAGGGTCTTGGAGGATCGACTTCTTCTCAGGTCTGGATCCCTCCTCCCGTGTTTCCTTTTTCCTGATGGCCAGAACCTACAAGTGGGGGGAGTCTTGGGAAAGAAAGGCTTTTATCCTGGGGAGGGGTCCTCCACTAGATTCATCCAGGTAACTATATAGGGCACTTCCTCTGGGTGCCCAAAGGATCCTGGCCTGAAGACTCTTTCCTCTATTGCTTTGATCACCTGTAAGTTGAAGGTCCCTATGAGTGGTCACCCTAATCTGAAGGTGGGCCATTCGGAGAAGCAGAGAGTAACTAACTTGCCCCTTTTTGCTACTGACAAGTTTTTTCCTCTTTCTCTAACTTCCCTCCAGTGGTTAACTAGGATGTTTAACAGGGTAGATTCAGTCCCAAAATAATGTCAGTCCAAGTCCAAGAACACAGAGAAAGACAATCAATACACAAACAGCTCGCCCTGTCACAGGCACAGAAACCAGGTTGTACAGACAGTTCTCACCCCTGCCAAAGGCGGGTCAAGATGTAACGCACAGAGAGACAATCCAGACATAGGAAAACCACCCCTGTCACGGGTGGAAGAATCCAGTAACCAGGCTACTTGGCCAGCTTACACCGGGACCAAATCTAATGACGATTTGGCCTACTTATGCCAGACCAAATCTAACAGGTTCCAAAAGGAGCAGGGTCCTCTCAACCCCCTCTGGGACACCTGAAGCATCTTCAGGAACCCCTGTGGTTGTGACACTGAGGCACATCTTCCTGCCACTCTTGAATGCCCCAAGCACCGTGGGCTTTCCGAGCCCTCAGACACTTGCAAGCAAACTGAAAGTTCAGGCTTACAGACTTTGACAGACAGGAGACAGAAAAATAAACCATGGTACCTGCTCGAGACCTCCAATTCACCACCCTCTGGTATGTCCTCACAGGAGGTCGGATGCCTGGCCAATGCACCAAGTGTAAGACTCTGACAAGCCTTAGCTTACCAGGGACCCCATGAGTGAACCACGTGGAGCCAAGAATCGATGAAATATGCAAGACGAATTTATTGTTCCAACAAGTTAGGGTCATCCTGCACCCAAAGGAGAGGCAGTGACCTTACATGCAGCTCTTTCAGTGAGCTTTTATACAGTTTCTAGAGAACCAGCAACTAGGCACAATATTGATTGGCAAAACAGTGTGACTTTTAAACTGATTGACCTTTAGGGAATGAGGTAGCAAGGACTTCCCTTGTCTGTGGGTGGCCAATGGTCTGGTCCTGTGGCCTGAGGAATGTTAATTAGCCTCACCCTTCTGGAGGGGAGGGGTGCCTAAGTGTTCTATGACCTCTCCCTTCTGGAGGGGAGGAGTCTGGTAGAATTTTCCAAAGTTCCTGAGCTGACCTCTTCACTGTAAATTTAATTTTTTCAAAAACGATAGTTTTTAAATGCTTCAACGTCCCTTGTAGCCCACCATTCATCAGAGGTAGTGGAAAAGAAAGGATGGAAGGGTGGGAAGTGGACCTGTATAGAAAGGTTCCCTGGAGCAACTCTCATCAGGAAACATCGCAACATGATGTTTTCTGGAAATCTGAAGTTCAGTTCACAGGTTAGCAGGAAGCGGCAGCTCGATCCTCTCATGAACACTTCACAGATACACAGTCCAGTTTGGTAAAGTCAGGTTAGCAACAGTAGTGACAGGACCTAGCAGAGACATTCAAGCCTCAGCCTCAGCTCGAGTCAGCAGGAGGGACCCAGAGGGACACCAGAAGTTCTTGGCCGTGCCTCTCAGGGAAGCAAAGATCAGCGAAGATGTGAGACCCACAAGCCTTGCACAGCTAGCTGTACCAGTTAGCCGAGCTTTGTCTCCTTCCCTCTGTCGAGTCCTATTTATACCCTTCAAATATCATGTGTCCTCCATTTGCCTTTCCTCAGCACGTGCATCCAGTCAGCCCAAGTCCACAGAGTCCTGACAAATGGAGCTCAACTACACAATGTAAGGCGGACCAATACATGCATGTCACTAGCAAAGAATCCTTCACCACGTGTCCTTTCATGTGCTTGCTTTAGCAGAACATTCTCTCCTCTGTGTCTGCTTCAGCAAAATGTTCCTTCATGAGTCTGCCTTAGCCTTTCACACCTGTGTCCACATTAAGGAAATGTTCCTTCATGTGTTTGCCTCAGAAAATGCCATCCAACCAACTTTCCAAAGAACCCTTAAATTTCCACTTCACAGTACAGACCAAGCCTAGGTGCCAGACTGTGCTGAAAAGTGTGGAGATGTTTATTTGTTGTTGTTGTTGTTTTTTAGACAGTCTCACTGGGTAGTTTGAAACTCCTGGAGATCCCCTGAGTGCTGGAATTAAATGCCTGGACCACCACAACTGTCCCAGAGTGGAAAAAGTATAAGTTAATGGAGGGCATCAGGGAGGGCCTGATGGACCGGTGTGTCAAGCACACTGGTACCTACGAGTCTGCAAATGTTTTCCTCTGTGACTATGCCAGCTGTGCTTGGCAGCCTTGGAAACTATATTCCTACCTTTGAGGATATCAGAAGGCTGGTTCTCTCTATCTCCCTGTGTCTCTGTCTCTCTTTCTCCTTCCCTCCCCTCCTCCCTTCGTCTATCTCTTTTCCTACCCTCATGAAAAGCAGGAACTCAGCAATGCTGGGCATGTTCTTGTTCCCCCTCCTGGCCATCTCCCTGCCTCCTTTGACACTTATCTCTCAAAAGGATGGCTTAAGAAATATCTTTCCTGAATTCTAAGATAAACAACAATATAGGACAAGATATTTAGAAGAGGGTGAGGAACAATACAGAAATATTTTCCCTAAAAATACTTTTTCTAAAGTAAACACACCAAGGAAAGAGAGATCAGGGCCTAGAATCAGAATTGGGTCTAGATAAATTCAGGGAAATGTGAAGGTGGGTGTGGCCACTCCCTCACTCCTACTGAGTATGGTACTAGAAGTCTTTGCTGGAGAAGGGAAGGATATGTCACAGTGCTGGCACAGAAACAGACACTTCAATCCATAGACTGGCACTGCTGACCCAGACACAGGCAACATAACTACAGCCACTGAGTGACAAAGATGCTAGAGATACTCACTGGAGAAAAGACAGTGTCTTCAACATACATACGGTGCTCCCACTACAGAGCTACTTGTAGAAGAATGAGAACCCTTATCTCTCTTATCTCTGTGCAAAAATCAACTTCAAAGGTATCAAAGGCCTGAATACAATACATAAGAGTCTGAAATGAGGAAAAGATAGGGGAAACACTTAAAGATGTTGGCATAGGGACGGACATCCAAATAGGGAATAGGAGTCTGGTCATTTAGGAAATGAGGCCATCAAGTGACAAATGGAATCTCATGAAACGAAGAAGCTTCAAAGGAAACAGCCAACTGAAGAGATGGCAGACATAAGAAAAAAAATGGGAGGCCGGGCGGTGGTGGTGCACGCCTTTAATCCCAGCACTTGGGAGGCAGAGGCAGGCGGATTTCTGAGTTTGAGGCCAGCCTGGTCTACAGAGTGAGTTCCAGGACAGCCAGGGCTACACAGAGAAACCCTGTCTCAAAAAAACAAAAAAACAAAAAAACAAAAAAAATGGGAGGAAGTCTTTGCCAGCTCTGGATCTGACAGAGGATTAATATCTAGAATACGAAAATAACTGAAATACCACACAAAAGGCTAGTGGGCTGGGCTGGGTGGTTATGAGTGCTTACTGCTCTTGCAGAGGACCCAGGATCCTTTCTCAGCATCCACATCAGGAGGCTCACAACCACCTGTAGCTCTAGCCTCAGGGCTGACCTCTTGGACACATGTACACACATGATTCAGGAAGTCCCTGAAACTGAGCTGCGATTCAGTCAGTAGCCTTTTGCCTCCCCAAAAGTACACAAGTAGAAGGACCGCTGAAAGACTCTGTCAGAGGAGCCAGCATCTGGAAGACTCTGACCAGCTGGGCTGCCTGTGAGTCAGGCACTGAGCTCCAGGGTTCCAGCTTCTGTGAGTCATCACCCACTCTGGGGTGGGCTTTTGGGGAGACAGTTGTCCTTGAGTCATTTCTGCTCCTGTAAGCAGCATCCCCTGACTAATAACTCTGTGAGTAGCCCCATTAAAACCATTGCTTTATTGACCAGGCCAGCCCAGTCAGTCAATAGGTTCCCCAGAGCAGAATTGAGGATTAAAAAGAAAACAGACAGTAAGACAACACTGTAGCATGACCCTGGCCAGTTCTGAGGCTGAGGCAGGTTTATTTTTCCCAATCTGCTTTTATACCATTTTAATTACATGCAAGTATTTAGGTCAGTTCTAGGTTGAGGAACTAGCAATGCAATAAATGCAAATAGTCAAGGAACAAGCAAGAAAATAAGCAAAGTCTCAGGATCACTCCCATGATCACTGTTCCTAAGGGCTTGTCAGGATGACCAAAATATGTCAGCCTACTTCCCTGTCCTAGCCCACAGTCATATTCAATGCCTGAGGCCTACTTCTTTGTTCTATCCTAAGATTTAGATTCCTGACTGAAATTAATTCCCTGTTCTAGCCTAAAATTAGATTCTTGTCTGAACTTACTTCCTTGTCATGGCCCAATGTCAGATTCCTGCCTGAAGCCCATTTCCTTGTCCTCTGCCAATGTCAGATTCCTGCAAAGCGACCCCAAAAGCTCTCCACACTTTATCAAATTGGACTTTGGTGGTGTTAGACGTCCACATGCAGCTTAGAACAGACCACACCAGAACAAAAGGTTCCAAGGGGGCAGGGTTTATTCAGGAGATAGGGCAAAGGTCGGGGCTGGGGGGGAGAAGTAGAGGAAGAAGATGGAAGAAGAGAGGAGAGGAGAGAGGAAGAAGAGAGACGAAGAAGAGAAGTAGAGGCCGGCCATGACCACATGGAGAGAGGGGGAAGGGAAGGAGGAGGGGGGAGGGGACAGGGAGAAGCTAGAGGCAAGAGAGTAAGAGAGAGAGGAGGGGGCAAGCAGCCCCTTTTATAGTGGGCAGGCCTACCTGGGTGTCGCCAGATAACTGTGGAGGTGGAGTTTAGACAGAATACTAACAGGTGGTGTCCTTACTTTGGCCTGTCATTGGTTCACTATGGGTGAATAGACATTTGTTCACATCTCCCTGGGAATAGTAGTACACAGACTTTCATGCAGACCCATGTATACAAATAAAAAATAAATAAAGGAGCTGCAGAGATGGTAAACAGTTAAGAGGACTTTGTTGGTCTTTAGAGGACCTTGGTTCAATTTTAGCACCTACAAGGAGGTTCACAACCATCTGTAACTCCATTTCTAGGATTTTTTTGTTTGTTTGTTTGTTTGTTTATCCAGACAGGGTTTCCCTGTGTAGTCCTGGCTGTCCTGGAACTCACTCTGTAGACTAGGCTGGCCTCGAACTCAGAAATCCGCCTGCCTCTGCCTCCCAAGTGCTGGGATTAAAGGGATGCATCACCACTGCCCGGCCATTTCTAGGATATTATCAAGGCATCTGATGCCCTCTTCTGACCTCCCCAGGCTCCAGGCATGCATGTGGAACATGTGCATGCATGTAGGCAAAACATTTATATACATGAAAAAAAAATTTTAAATCTAATTTATTTTTTTATTTTTTTATTTTATTTTTTTTTAGGTTTTTTAGGTTTTTCGAGACAGGGTTTCTCTTGTAGCCCTGGCTGTCCTGGAACTCACTGTGTAGACCAGGCTAGCCTCAAACTCAGCCTCCCAAGTGCTGGGATTAAAGGTGTGCGCCACCACCACCTGGCCTAAATTTTTTTTTTTTAAAGGAAAAAAATCTAAAGTATAAACAAGGATGGCTCACTCACTTGGGAGGCAGAGACAGGCAGATTCTATAAGTTCAAAACCAGTCTGGTCTACATAGAGAGTTCCAGAACAGCCGACAGAGACCCTATCTTGAAACCCTCCCACTCCCCACCCCACCCCTCCACCCCTGAAAA